GGCCAATTGATGATCTCCCCTCCAACTGTGTATACAGGGAATAATTTTACGGCAGACCATGCAATGATATGTAAACAGAGAGACTATTACTCAGCATTACAACAAGCAGAGAGACCTAGGGGCCAAACCCTTGAGTTCTGTATGCAGCGATGTCGAGATCGAGCCTATCCACCGAGACATTTCAGGAGAACAGCTGAGTAGAGCATTCAATAGAACACCTGATGCCAGGTTAGACATTCATACCGGTGGGTTCCGGAAGCGCCAATGTGCGGCATTCTATGACATGAGGGTACGTCACTCTAATGCCAGCTCATACCAGAACAAGGAACCCCAACAGGTCTCTCAAATACATGAGAACGAGAAGAAGCGCCAATATTGCAGAAGAATACTTGATGTGGAAAAGGGAACATTCACCCCTCTGGTTTTCACAACATCGAGTGCGATGGGGATTGATTGACAGAGCTCATTCCCTCAAAGAAAGAAAAGCAATATTCCACAGCCATCTCCTGGATAAAAGCTCATGTTTCGTTTTCAGTTTCGCAATCTGCTCTTGTCTGTTTAAGAGGTTCCAGGAACATTAGGAAAGTTCAGCATTACATTAAGAACAATGACATTGATATTGACGTTATTGAAGGAGCCATCTCCTAGGTCTTTTAATCACCAATTTTTACATTTCCCTATATCAGCTTTTAATTCTTTTTGTTTTGGCTCCCTTTTACCAAAATTTGTAACATAAATGGACACACTCAAAGAGATTTGTGAACTAACAGTGACATTTTTCATGAAAGTAAGCATGATAATTTTCTAACTATCGTTCATTTTCTTCTAACTGTGTTTAGGTATTTCTAAACAGTAACCAATTCCAGCCAACCATTGTTTTCAAATATTACTTCTAATTGAAGAGATTCTATTCAAAATATCAGATGAGCCACGTCTCAACAAAACCAATGGGCAAACATTTTACTAAGCAACAGAGTCACCGGGATTAAAACAAGCCAAAACAATCCCCCAAGTCCTGCTACAGATAAAAGACGCTTTTTTTAAAGAATAAATTATATCAATCTTGGATGAAAATTCATTATTCATAAATAATGGCAGTCCATTCTACATCAGTTGAGCATTTACAATTGTACCAAGGCTAGATTCTTGACTTATACATCATGGATTTACACCACACCAAGTATAAATCTACCATTTATAAATGAACAATGATATTGCACCCAACTCTAAAAATAGCGCCAAAACCGAGAACCAATGGTATTCTCACTTAACCTTACCCTTTTCGTCTTTTGAAAAGGACTTTTTATGCTTTGTCGTTTTAGGGGTTTTTAAGTCTTGAGCTGTGCACTTATTTCCTTATTAGCTTAGGATATATGCACACAGCAAGCACAATTAATTTTCCAGTTCACTTTACAAGTAAAAAAGAAAGCCATAACTTATAAATTCTTAAAAATTTTGTGAGATCTAGTCTCGCCCGTGAAAGTCTTCAGGAGTGTTTTTCCTCGCTCTTTGATTTTGCATCGTATAGTTGCTATTCACATCTAGTTGTGCTCACCAACAAACTTCCTTATGATCTATACCTGACTTGTACACATCTGACGACCCTTGCGTTTTCATTTAGAGTTGCTTTCCCCTCTCACCCTATCTTGACAGGAGTTTACTGCTCCAATTAAGCGAGGGCCAAAGCTTCACAGAGTAAATGCTATGTTAACACACCCAAACAAGAAAGCCAGTGTACTATCATTCCAGTTCAGCTATTCAAGGAAAAGTTACCTACAACTGATGAAGGGCCAACTACCTAATATGGCAACATGGCGTCAATGCTGACGGTCACAGCTATTGTGCTGCTTATCATGGTCCTGCTTCTACAACATTTCCTCTTTCAAAAAGTAAAAGTCATGTTCGCAACAACTTTAAACCACATTGTAGTGGAAATTTTTATCGCCGGATGGGGTTTGATAGGCAAAGATTTGCGAGAGAATGGGTAACACTTGAAACGTCAGCTTTGAAACTCTTAACGGTGGCCAATCTACGTTATCAACTCAGCTGTTATGATACCAAATTACCTTGTCGTACCTAATCTAAGTCAATTGAACTCTATTGAACGTTCGTTTTTTTTTGTGAGAGTTCGATTGTGTTCGATCACCGAACTCAATCGAACCCAATCGAGTGAATGAGGTTCGATTGAGTTCAGTTGAGATTATGCAACACTTAAAACATTTCAAGTAGAATTTAAAGGCTTTGCTCGCCTCTGCAGACCAGAAGCTCAACCAAATTTGATTAAATAAGCTGGCCAATAATCTAAAATTAGTAAGCGGTTCTGCAAGCAAACAAGCAAAAAAAACGTCCGCCCTAGGGAACATAAAATAATAATTCAAATTAGGATCCATTTTGACTTTTCCAAAAATCAAAAAGTTAAGTTTATTTCAATCGGTTAATTCGCTAAAAGATGCTTTCGAGATAACATGTCAAGGCGTGCGAGACAACCGAAGCTGAGTGTGTCGTCACAAAACGAGTACGAGGAGGCAAAGAGGATTACTTCATCCAGTGGAAGGACTACTCCACGACTGAAAATACATAGGAACCAGCCGAACATTTGCCGGAGAATCTCATAGCCGCATACGAGACCACGTCTGTCGATCCATTTCGTGCCGATGAGTGCAGAGAGACTCGCCCTTCTATTCGAGAAGGGTTAAAAATCGTTCCTGACCTGTGACGAAAGTATCACAATGCGGCAAGGTGTCGTGCAAGCGATTTTGTTGGTTTGCCGTCCGACCTCCGGGGGAGCTCATACTTCGCCAGTAAAGAGTATCTGATAGCAGCTGGCCTTGGTTCCTTCCTGAGGAAATTTTTGACAGTGACAGGTGGTGCATCGTCAACGCTCCAGTCATCATGAAGCTGTTTCGTCGGCTTTTTTAGAAGTTACAAAATAGAATAAAGTTTATAACCAACTTATAAATGAGAAGGATAAGTCGAAAAAATCTCCAGATAACGAATTTATTTTCAATTATTGCATAAGTGGAGAAAATATCAGGATGTGTATGATAAATTTGATCAAATAAGTTCAACAAATGATCGATTCTTTGCCCTTCTTGAAACAGTTACAATATTTATTTGTCATCTTGCTTCGTGGGAGTGGTACCCACAGCACCCTTTCCCTGCAATGTTCCATGAAGAAATCGAAATGGATTATAAGAACGAGCTTAACTCCGTTGCGGTCGAAGCAAATCTTTTCTGTTGGACTGCGGCTTGTGTCGGAAGGTTTACCTAACAGAGCATATCAACCCTAATTTTTTCCTTCTTAACTGAGTTTATGTTGCTATAGCAATAGGCTTCTGAATAAAGAACTAGAGACCATATTTACCGACCCGATGCGAGTCCTGGACGGTTGGTTGTTCCCTCAGTTTTTAACTGGACAATGATCTGAGCCAGAGGTTAAGTTTATTTAGTAGTGATAGAGCAACGATTTATTAATTTCATAGTAAACATGATTCACATCCAAAGACGTGTGCGTAACAATATCATCATTGAATTACCTAATTTGAAAATGCAGAATGTAAGCTATACTAAGAAAGTAAATACAAGAACAGGGTTAATTAATTTGCAAACTTAGTTAGCCTTTCCACCCCTCTTTTATGA